CAGCTACTATGTTCTAGGCAAATATGGTTTGCTTTTAATGGGATCCTAAATTAGAGAACAAAATATTTGCAATTCATATCATAGACAAAGGGCTAATTTCTTTTTTTTTAAAATCTTCTAACTATGAAAGTCATTGACAAAAATGAGCAAGAGGTAAAATAACTCACCAAAAAGTAAGATAAAGGGCCCCCTAAATAAATGTTAAGATGCACAATTTGCCCTGGCCAGTGTGGCTCAGTTGTTTGGAAATAGAGAGGTGGCTGGTTCAATTCCAGGTCAGGGCACATGTCAGGGTTTCTGGCTCAATCCCCAGTGGGGAGCATGTGGGAGGCAGCTGATCGATGTTTTGCTCTCACATCAATGTTTCTCTTTCTCTTTCCCTCTCCCTTCCTCTCTCTCTAAAAGAAATCAATAAAAGTATTTTTTTAAAGATGTACTTTTACTCAAAATAAGGCAAAAATAAATTATAGCTACTAGATATCATTTTTCAACTTTCAGCATGATAAAGAATAAAAGCACAATTGACGCTTTGTAGATTATGAAGAAATATACTCTCTCACATATTGCTGGTGGGAGTATAAACTGATATAATATTTTTTAGAGCAATTTGGAATTATCTATGAAAATTAAAAGTGTACATGCCCTATGACTTAACTTTCAGGAAGTTAGCCTATGGATATACTTTCATAAAAGCAAAATAATGCACATGCACAAGGATATTCACTACAGCATATCCCACACACAAGAAACAATACAAATATCTAGAAATTATTCTATACAAAGGAATATTATGCAGCTGTATAAGAGAATCAGACAGCTCTTAATACTCATACTAGAGGCCCTCTCATAATCCGGGACCCCTCAGGGGATGTCAGACTGCCGGTTTCAGCCCGATCCCCACAGGCCAGGCCTAGAGACCCCACAGGTGCACAAATCATTCGTATACATATAAGATCTTTGGTTAATCTCTTCTCATCCTCCCCTTTCCCCCTTTCCTCTGAGATTCATCAGTCTGTTCCATGTTTCCATGCCTGTGCATTGAGCTTCTGCTCCCTGGTGGTCAGTGCACGTCACAGCTACCAGTTGAAAGGTTGAACAGTCGCTTAGGCTTTTATATATGTAGATGGAACAATTTCCATGAAAAGTTGGTTAGTTAATAAAGCAAGTTTCAGGGCAGTGTTATCATGCTGTGGGTTTTTTGTTTGTTTGTTTATTTTGAAAATATATATGATACGCTTTGTAAATCTATAAAATGGCTTTGAAATGACAGAAAATAACTTTGGTTGCATGAAAGAACTGAATGGGTGGGTAATGGAGAAAGGCTTGCTTTGGTAGCTTATGGGCTTTAAACTATCATTTATATGATTATTAATCGTCTAAAACAAATCAATTTAAAAGACCACATCCATACACAAATTTTTTAAATTACTGATTTGAAAAACCTCTCAAGATTTCTTCCAAACTTCAGATTGTGTGCCATTCCACAATTTCAAAAGGCCGATAAAAAGAAATCATATTGTTACTTCTTTTGCACAGTAAGTACATCATAAATAACTGTTCTTTGATTTAATAGACTTTTCTCACTCTAGCACAGGATCCCACTGTCCTCAACTAAGACGTGGGCCATCCGAAGGCCACAGCCCTATTCCACACAGCTCTCCAATCTCTGCAAGAGAAGATATATTCCTGGAAGGTTATATTCTGAAATGTAATATAAACAGTAGTATTTATTGTGCTGGGATAATCATTTTTTTTCCTAGAAGATGCTATCATAATAAATAGTATAGGAGAATTTAGCTGCCTCCTAGGGATTTTCAACTCATCTAGTTTAGGAGCTAGGACATGTTTATTTGAAAAAATAATGACCATGCTAGAAAGGATATTATAGATGCCAAATAAGTAGCACAAGTAAGCAATCCCTCAAGAAATTCAGAAGGAAAATCACATTTACTAGGGTAATCAGAAAAGGCTTCAAAAGAGAAATAGCATCTGAGCTGGGCTTGATGTATGATCCAGTTTCAATAGGCAAGGAAACGCACAGTATGGTTTGGGAACAGGGGAGCAGGCCAGTCTGGACAAACGGAGCCTGCAGGTGGCGGAAGTACTCCTAGCTCCTGGAAGCCCATTTAATCAGTCCCTGAGCCTGTATCCTTCCAATGCCCTAGATTAATTTTGATTCTTCCTAATATCTCCCAGAGTTGTCATTTCTTCTCCATTCTCACTACCTCAAAGCAATCCAAGCTCTCATTCCCTCCTCCGGATAGATCTCCAAACTCATCCTCCTGTTTTCAATCTCCCCCATCTCCAATCAACAGTGCAAAACTCATGATGTTATTTTACACACATGACCCAGTCACCCCAAACCCATCAAAGACTAAACACTGCTTGTAAAACAAAGCTATTCACCCTCTCATTACAGCCCTTCTAGCATCTGCTCTCATCTACCTCTCACTCCTTCACTGGATTCATACCCACTGAACATAATATACAAATTTCAAGCCTATGTCCATGCCGTTTCTTTCACCTGGAAGATTCTCCTTATTTTGTTCCCAGGTGGCACACATGGTTGTATAGGTTGCGAACACTGTAGTTTACATAAATAATACCTTCTCCCCTGTTGGGCAGTGCACAACTTCTGCAACCTTCCAAAGATGGCTTGTTTCCATCCTCCCACACCTTGAAGGCCTTCTCTGAACAACTCAACTGTTGGTCCAACTCTCTGATTCCTACATCACCAACTTGACACCTTTTCTTTAAAAAAAAAAAAAAAGTTACAATATTTGAAACACCAACAGTGCCTTGAACACAGCAGATACTCAAAAGATTCTTGCAAATGACAATGGGCTAAGTTAAAAAAAAAGAAGAAGACATATTGTGACATGAGCCTTGAAGGCCAAGACAGAAGTTCTGACTTTATTTGGTAGATGTCAAATATAACCAATGATCAGAATGTTGTTTTAGAAAGACTAATTTCAGCAACCATAAGCAAGCAGGCGTTGAGAGGTTTTCATCAAAGTGCCAGTTTAGGGCCCTCGGGGTTGGAGGAGGCCTGTGGGAGGCTCCCTCTGTAATGTGCAACCTCCTGTCATCCAGTCATCCTTCAGTTTACCTGTTTGGCATTACAGATACTGATTTCCATATACCTACCATCAAAGTGAAGCTTAAAACTGGGCCATTAAGCCAAGAAAAAGATGCTTTTGCCTGAAATATCTGCGTATCTAGGAAACAGTTCTGACTTGAATAATTATATACATACATGAAATACATATACACAAATTAAGCAGTACTCTTATCTTCTTTCTTCACTTCTTTTGCAGTCTTCTTCTTTTCCATCTGTCTCTTCCCTTTTTGGTCTCTCTCTCTCTCTCTCTCTCTCTCTCTCTCTCTCTCTCTCTCCCCCTTTCTCTCCCTCCCATTATTATTATCCTTGTCTCCTATTTCTTTCCAAATGCTTTACATTAAGCTCGCCAGACTGCCCTTCCCTTCTCCCCAAACACCCCCACCCCCAAAAAATTATTATTCAGCTTATTTGACTGTTTTTGCTTATATACTGATTTAGCCAACTCCCCTAAACATTCATAGTGATAACTCATTTCTCCTGCTTCCTTTGCTAATGTAGCTTAAACCTTCACTAACTGTAGAATTCTACAATTACTAGTGAATCCTTTCAAGGCCAATCATTTTCCTATGGCCCTCTAAAAGAATCAAAGGCACTTACGTATTTAGGTATCTAAATTAATTTAATTGTACTGTTGTGGTACCAAATAAGTAATTCTTATTGATAAATTGAAAACTCAAAACCTAATACATTAAACAAAATTAGTTTCCTAATGAATTTCCTTCCAAAGCATGTATCTTGGATTTCATGCCAAGATATCAGTAATGCACTCCATGGTACTAAACAATTTTATTTACTTCTCAGATTTATAAGAAAAAAAAATCTTTCCTCTCCAAAGGAAGAATATTATGTGGAAAACACCCACTGCAATATCAAGGCAGAGAAGTAACACCATTAGAAACATGCACATGCCTATCAGGAAAAGATTAACTGGCGCAACCTAATTTTAAAAAGGGTTGAGGGGAATCTTAAAACAGTATCAAAGGTAAAACAAAACAAGCAATTCTGTATTTGTGCCCAGACAGGCAGTCTCCCCTAGAAGTCCAACTTTACTCAGGTAAGAATCATCTAAGGAAAGATTTCAATATTTTCCTTTCATCCTAGTAAAGTTAAAAAAAATTAACTACTCAAATACTGGTTCTGGATTTGGAGCAGTTTAGATGTTTCTCCTCTCCCAAGGTGATGTTTTTTCCCCTCTCCACACTGAAGATCCCTCTGCGTGTCACAGTGTGAACCTTTGGTACCCAATGGTGGGCAGGCGCTCTGTGAACTCCATACTTTGTAGGAAAGAAGGAGAGAGAAGAGCATGACATCCATTACTTAGACTGAGTCTATAGTTAAGTCAATCTTCTTTATAACATAACAATTTCATTACAGTACATTTTATGCAGCGTGCATAGAATGTGTGGACAGTGTAGAGCAGACCTCATTCACAATAACAAGACCGTCTTTTCAAATACCACCCCAAATCGGCAAATACATAATTCAAACTGCTCTCGGTTCAATTTGAAATTGTCGAATCCTACCAATAAAAGTTTGCAGAAACCTAATTAACCGGTTGGGAACTGCTCAAAAGTAAACTACAAAGATGGGAGGCTTGTCTCTACCTGCCCCTCTCCATGCCTGGCGAGTCACCCAAGAGAGGGGCGTCTTATATGTACGGGAGCCACTCGCTCGTGCCCGGGGAAATGGGGATGGGGAGTGAGCACCAACCCGTCCCTTGCTGGGCCCCAAACCTAGACCGGCTCGGCCGCCCCGAGGCATACCGGACAGAGACGCGACCGACGAGGACCGGGACGGACAGACGTGACAGGACGGACGCAACGGGCAAAGAAGCAGTGCGTCCTACCCGGAGGGCTCCCTCCCAGGGACGGCGGAGTACCTGCTCCGGTCATCCAGGCTGCGGTTGTCGGCCGCGGCGGCGCGCCAAATCGGGCAGTGTGCTGGCGCACAGCACCACCATGGGACACGATCACGAACACGACCGACACGCTGGCCAGGATCTGGGCGGCCAGCGACGACGTGGGCTCCTCGGAGGGTCAGCCGCATGCGCTCCAGCCTAGCGCCTGGACGGGGACGCCTCGAGGCCGTCGGCTCGCGGCTTCTTCGCGGACCGGCTCGTCGGCGGA